TCACACTTGGTCCTGACAGCAACCATGAGTCAGCCTCAAGTGCTGAGGGACCAGCAGTGTTCTCAGTGCTGCTGGGCGTGTGCTGTGGTCCTTGGCCACGGTCCTTTTCAGTCACACTGTCTGAACGTTGTTCTTGTAAATCTGGCCTGGGTTCTTTAAAAAAAAATAAAAACAGCCTCCACATGTGATGTCATGGGCCAGCCTGGGAAGGAGGGGAGTAAGTTGTGTGCAGGATTTTATTTCTGGAGGGGTTGATCTGGTCTTGGAAGAAAGTCAATCCTTCTCCCTTCCTTTCAAGACCCAATAGGAAATCAATATTCTGATTTAGAGGGATAGAGAAGTGATAAATCAAGATTAAGGCATGAAGTTTAGCATCAAGCAGCTCTGGGTTCAAATCTTGGCTTTTTCAAATACTACCTCTGGGACCTTGGGCAAAACACTCCTTTTTTCTCATTTCACCCATGGAGAGGATAATTCTGATGTTACGGCGGTAGGTTTTAAGAAGTTTGTGCAAAGCGTTTAGCACATGTGTCAGGGAACACACTGTATAGCACATAGTAATTGTTCAATAAATGGTAGCTACTATTAAATCCTCAGCAGTTGATGAGGAATATAACTTGACCATTTTCTATGCTTTTTACCAGTCTGAGAGCCAAAGTTTTCTTGATAACCATTTTCCCTCTGAAAAGTGTTCATGCTCCTCATACTGAGTGTGCCGTCTTTCTGGAGATGAGGAGGTTGGGGAGAGATTAGTAATTGTGTCCTAACCCTTTGTCTGCCCCTCCTTAGCCAGCTGGCTCCCTGGCTGCAGCCCTCTGGTTCTCCTTGCTGCCTCTCTGCCCTCTGAAGATGTCTTGTCTCCTTGCTCCAGCTTGGAACGATCAGTCCCACCCAGCCAGCACTTCTGGCTTCCCTGACCCTGACTCTCCCCTACATCTCCTGTGCTTTTCTCTTTATTTTGCAGACAGCTGGGGAAGAGGTCAGCATGTGTGAATGTCTCTACACCATAGAGACACCCATTCCAGGATGTCCAACGTGTAATTTCATTGCGCAAGAGGCCCCTAGTGCTTTTTACTCCTGTTGTTTTAGATTTGTGTGCATGTGTGCATGTGTGCGTGTGTGCATGCGCATGTGTGTGTGTGCATACGCATGGGGAAGGCTGAGGATTAGAAATGGCACTTCCAAATCTCTCCCCCTGCGCTAGGCAGGGTGGCCCTTAGCCTGTAAATAAGGGAAATTTACAGACAGTAGGATCCTTACACAGGAGAAGTCAACCTAGGTTGGGGCCAGAAAACTCAGGTCAATGTTCACTTGGACCAGAAGCATATTAATCACTTCCTAAACACCAGAGGTGGAAGTTGGGGAGGGACAGGGGAATAAGGGAGTGTATTGGGAATGTGAAGACCAGATTCCACTGGATGTAAGACTAAAAAAAGACTAAAAACAGTATTATATGTCAGCTAAAAGGAGAGTGGCATATCTATATATGGTGTCATGGAAAGATATCCAAGACATGTTATTAAGTAAAAAAAGAAATCACTGAACAACACAAATATTAAATCATATTTATGCTTTTTAAATTTTTTTCTTTTTTTAAAGATCTGATTTATTTCTAGAGAAAGGAGGAGGGAGGGAGAAAGAGAGGGAGAGAAACATCAATGTGTGGTTGTCTCTCGTACACACACCACCAGGGACCTGGCCTGCAACCCAGGCATGTGCCCTGACTGGGAAGTCAAACAGGCAACCCTTTGCTTCGCAGGCCAGTGCTCAATCCAATGAGCCACACCAGCCAGGACTATTTATGCTTTTTTTAAGTGCAAAACATGTGAGGAGGTGCATGAGAAAGGAATGGGGCTATAGAGTGTTTTGTGTTTAGATATTTTGCAACAGAGATTGAACTGCAGAGAAAATCGGAAACTCTGGCCTCAGTGTGGACATGTTTTTCCACTATTACCTCAACAACAGGGACACTGGGTCTAGACCCTGACGAATTTCGACCCTATTGGACAACAGACCTGCTCAGCTCAGCCTGCTCAGCGCTCCCCAGAAGACAAATGCTCTCCACACCGAATCATGTCAAGAAACATTTCAAGGTGTTGATAACTCAGCAATCCTGTCCTGTCCTTTGAGGGTCCCTTAAATTTCATGTTTCTCCTGTCCCCTGTTACCCCTCCAAAACTTTCCAAAATGAAGCTCTTTAATCTGTGAGCCCTGACGCCTTCTTGACCACCCTTGCGCTTTGGTATCCCATGTCGTTGTCACCCGTGGTTACGCTTGTGTGAGGCAACCATCGTAGCATCCCCCCGAAAGAGAGCAGGCCTGAGTCTTCTTTTTATATCTCAACTCACTGCCAGGTTCTTTAAATGATTTGAAAGAAAAAAGAAATTATGTGACAAGTATATACTTATGTATTTATATGAAATTAAAAAGTATATTTTTATAGCAAAAATGATACAGTTTAAAACATAAGGGGATTTAGAAAAAGAAGGTAAGGGCTCCCGGGTGTAGAAAATAGGACTTCCCATGAAAGAAGCTGTCCCTAATGAAGCCCTTCTTTGTCCCTTTGCTGCAGAACATAGGAATATCTCCTAAGGCAACCTGGAAGATGAAGGTGTGGTCTCCAGTCCCCACTGAGCCCCAAAGGGCCTCCATAGCTGACCCCAAGTTACCAGACTGCTCCCAGGGATCAGTGAAAACATCCAAGTGCCTAACTGGTAAGAAAAAGCAGGAAGAGGAAAATCAGGAGGAGAGAAAGTTCCCAGGATCTGCAACAGGAGGGTATGGACTTCTACATTCTGGAATGACTACAAGCTCTCCTTTTGCGGTCTCCAATCCTGATGCAAGGTTAACCCCAACTCTAGGCTAAAAACCACACTTTCTACCAACTCACCTGTGTATTTCCTTTTGCTGCTATGTTCATTTTGTATATGAAAATGTTGAGCTCCAAACACATGAAATGGCCTGCCCAAGGTTAACACAGCAAGAGAGTCCTAACCAATGCCTTCAGAATCCTAACCAATGTTTTTCTTTATCCATTTTACCATGCTGCCCTATTTGAAACCTTATCAACTTTAATCTTGACCCCAAACTCAGTCCCAACCACTATGGACTCAAGTTCTTCTGACCCCAGCCCAGTGGAAATGGCTGGTTTTGCTTTCTGTCCCTCCTTGCTTCCTCCTTCCATCTTATCACCGAGAATTTTCCTCTTGGCCATGTTTTCTTTCTTCTTTTCTTTTCTTTTCCCTCCCTCCCTCCCTTCTTTCCCTTCCTCCCTCCCTTCCCTTCCTTCCTTCCTTCCTTCCTTCCTTCCTTCCTTCCTTCCTTCCTTCCTTCCTTCCTTTCTTTCTCTTTCTTTCTTTCTTTCTTTCTTTCTTTCTTTCTTTCTTTCTTTCTCTCTCTCTCTCTCTCTCTTTCTTTCTTTCTTTCTTTTTTTCTTTCACAGTCACAGGTTGGAGGGAAGGAACAGGTTTTCTCCCTGGCAGAACTGGCTCCAGGGTGCCTGGGTCTCTTCTGCACATTGCAGAAGATGACTCTCTCTCTCTGCAGGAGGGAGGGCCTTGGGGTCCACGCCAAGCAAGCCACCTCCCTTCTCCCTCCGGATGCCTTTCTAAAGCAACCTCTTGACCCCAACTATGGAGGAGAGCCACAGGTTATCAGTGGCTATGATTCAAAAGCCTCAGACCCTGAGATGAAGATTTTGCAGAGAGATCAAGAAAGATAATTCGTGGTGGGCAGGGATCAGTAAATTAGACAACAGCAGCAGCTGAGGTCAGGGGTCAGTGTCTGGGAGTAATTTAGGAAAGTTCGGTGCTGACAGCTGCGTCTGAAGTTGACGGTCATGGCTGAGCCAGCTCCGGGGCTCCTCCGCTAATGAAGACTAATGAAGCTCTGGCTCAGGCCACCAAGACAGTTGTGTGTGGCAGAAGGCAGGGCCCCCGGGGCCTCAGGATCCCCATGCTACTTGCCAGCAGTGTGATCTTAGGCAAGACCTTAGGGAAGGAGGAAAGGAAACTATCATCTACTGAGCGAGTGCAACGCCCTTTCACGGACGTCATCTTCACTGCAGTTTAGTGACCAGGGGAATGTCCCTATTTTACATGGGAGGACACTTAAGAACTTGTGAAGGTAACTGAGTCATTCAGGAGAGTAAAAAGATGGAATCAGGACTTAGAGATTCTGAACTCCAAGTTCTGGGCTCTTTTCCTTCAGCTTTAGCTTATTTCCCTCCGAAGCGGGGGTAATAGTGTGCCCATCTCATGAGTGAAGGCACACATTGTAGATTCTAAACCCTTTCTCACAACCTTGGTCCTGAAGAGCTGTGGCCACCTTCCGTCTGAGGACACAGTCATCTTGCTTTTGCCCTTGTCCCCAATCCTGTTTATGGGTCTAGGCCCCAGGAGGTACCTCGAAGGGAGGTATTGGGACTTTGGTTTTCCCTCTACTTCTACCCTCAGGCCTCCTACCGACTCTGGAGGGCCGGCTCTCTGCTCCTCCCCGGTTTTGGCAGGCGGGCTGACATCAGTGGGTGTTCCCAGGGAAACTGGGAACCCTGAGCCCAGCTCCAGGGCGTCTTCCCCACCACCCAGAGCAGCCCTAACCCTGGGCGTTGAGAGGCCCCCTGAGCTCCCTCTTCTCCAAGCCTCTCGGAGGGCAGCTCGCTCCCCGACCTACGTCCACCCCTGCCCACCTCCCCTCGAAAAAGAAGGGACAAGTAGAGTCCAGAAGCGGATGTTGGGAGATTCCAGCGAGTCCTGGGCGCCACGCGGCCGAGATCAGGAAATGGATCCGGGTTCTGGGGTTACGAGGGGAGCTGTCCAGCCCCGCGGGGTGAGCTGGAAGAAAGGGTGGGCCTTCCCCGGCGAGGCGGAGGCAGCGGCGGGCGCCAGGGTCGGGTGGGGCTCTGACTGCCCGTACAGCCCGCCGGCCCCGGGCGTCGCCCCCGCCCCCCACGTGGCCGCTGCTGTCCCAGCCCCTGCGAGGAAGCGGCGCGGCTTCCTGCGGCTGGGGCCGGGGATATAGGCGCCCCCGCCCGGGCTCGGCGCCGTGCCGCCGCCCCTCCTCGCTTGCTTGCCGCGCGCGCGATGGCCCCGCTCCGGGCAGAGAGCGCCGCCGGCGGCCCGTGGATCCCGGCGACCCGCGCGGGGCGACCCTCCGCGCTCCGCTTCCTCCTCCTGCTGGGCGGTGAGCGCAACGCCCCGGGGCGCGGGTGGGAAGCGCCGGAGGCACCGGAGGAGAGGGAGGCTAGACGGCCGAGAGCGGAACGGGCCCCGGGTTGCGGCGCGGACGACACTATCATTCGGACAGTCCCCGGCCCCACCTCGGTAAGGGCTCCGCTCAAGCTGCTTCCCACTTGAGGAAAGCCGGAGCGGGTCCCCGAGGAGAGCTTTTGGGAGGTCTGAGACTGGCGAAGACGGAGGAGGTTTAGGATCTGAATGCGAGTGGAAAGGAGCTGGTATTCTTTTCTGCCCACTGAGGCACCCTGTGGGTGGACTATTCCTCCGTCTCGTCTGACTTCCAAGGGTCTCAGCCTCCAACTGACACCCATCCTCCAGGCTCCATTGCTCAGATCCCAGCTATTCCATCTCCTCTCCCATTTCTGCCCACAGCTATCCTGAAGCCCCAGGATTCCGTGGCTCAGCTTCTTACCACCCCAGGCAGCTTGGAGTCAGAAGGTGAGTAGCTTGCCTCCGTGGGAAGGTGGCCTGGGGCAAGAGGAGAGGCAAGTCAGTGGGGAGAGTTCCACCCCCCCCTTACAAGGCAGGTCTCTAAGCTGGCCCACCTCACAGGTGGGATAGAAGACCCTAGAAAAAAATATATGTGCAAACTGTTGTCAGTCTGGGAAGTGCGGTGCACATGGAAGGCATTAAAATTTTCCTAAGCTGGGACTCTCGCCTCAGCTACAAGTGTGTTGCTTTGGAAACTTTCTGAGGCTGTCCTGGCAGTTCCTATGTTTAAAGACAAGGCCAGTGGTTCTTAGATGGAAGTACCTGGACCAAAGGGCTTGGAGGGAGGAGCGGAGTGTGGTCAATGTGCAGTATTAGTGCCCACAGAGAAAACGATGGAAGCGTACATTGAGAATATTGTACTTTGCTGGCAACTCTATAAGAATTATATGGACTCTATCAAAGGAGACTGGTGCGACTGGGCCATAATTAGCAGGTAAGGGCAGTGCTGGAGGGTGGTTTGGGCCGGGGTGGGGGCTTGGTCCTTGTGGGTGGGCCTCGAGTATATGTGGGGCACGCCCCCTCACTCTAGTCCTCTCCTGCCCCCAGGCCTTATAGCGACCTGCAAAATTGCTTGGAACAGAATGCGGACCACTTTGGCCTGGGCTTCCCCAATCCCATAGCAGAACAGTACATCTTTGAGACTCACCAGATCCACTTTGCCAACTGTTCCTTGGTGCAGCCCACCTTCTCAGACCCCCCAGAGGATGTGCTTCTGGCCATGATCATAGCCCCCATCTGCCTCATCCCGTTCCTGGTCACCCTTGTGGTGTGGAGGAGTAAAGACAGTGAAGCCCAGACCTAAGGTGGCATGAGTTTCTCAGCAGCCACCTTACTCCTTTCCCCGCCGCCACCAGGTCTCTCGCGCGGTCTCCCCACCTCCTTCTCTCCCTCTCCCCCCATACTGAGCCTTAGATTGGTGGACGCGGAGCTGGGTGGGGTCACGGCACAAGTTCTGTAATCTTCAAAATAAAAGGTTCCTTTTGTACACTGTCCGCCCCATCCCAGGGGGCCTGTGTCCTTCCCAGAGTCTGACCTTCTCACGGGCCCTCAGCTCTGGGCGACAGAGCTGGGACAATAGGGATAAACCCATGTTTTGTTCACTTACCTGCCCCTCACAGTCCCCCCTCCACCCCCACACAAGGCCACACTGGTACATCCCTTCCTCCCAAGGTGGGGCCTTTCCTGCTCCTATCTAAATCCCAGCTTCAGGAAACAAGCTGGAAGAGACTCCCTTCCTGTCTGGACAACTGCTGGGGAGGTGTGGGGGGAGGGAGGACTCTTGCTGTGACTCCCGCAAGAAGGAAGGGGGGCCTGCCCAGGAGCCCTGAATTTTCCCCTCATTCATGTTCACGCCTAGAGACTGGGAAAGGGAACACTGATCTGACCAGCTGGAGCCCTCCCCTGAGGACCTCAGGACTGAGGGCAGAGGCAGTGGGGGCTCCTCCTGCTGGGTTCACCCCAGGACTCCCCCCTCCAGGTCCCTGGCCCTCATCCTACATTGTTCTGGACCTTGGGGGTGTGGCCTACAGCTCTACCGCCCCCTGGTGTCCACTAAAGCCCAAAAACCAGAAGATGGATGTGTAGTGGAAGAAGCTCAAAACAGGAGACTGGACTCTGAGGTCAGAGACCTGTCATCTCCATAGCAAACACTGTTTCTTAACTGTACCCTTCTGTCGGCTTCCCGAATCATACTTATGTTCCCTTACGATGCTTCCCCGCTGTCGACATAAGAAATGTCCAAACCTGTAGAGAATTTTTATAAAAGTGTATGTGAGCCAAAACTGACAGCATGTGCCAGCAGCAAGCTCTCAAATGCTCTGAAGAATTACAGTTTTGTAGGGTTTTTTTAATGCATTTGAGATTGTGTGAAGGTGGGAGAACGCAAGATGGAGATTGGATTATAGGACAGTTAAGATTATTTGCCCTCCAGAGTGGTTATGTCTTAGAAGCAGGGGGTTGAAAAGAGGCATTTTCAAAGGTGTGTTAACCTAGATACATGGGAACAATGGACAGGGCTTGCTTAAGGCAAGGATAAACCTTTTACTAAAAATTTACATGCGTGGGGCGTGACTACCCACCATGACCTGCCCAGTTAGGAGTTTGTGATCTATTACAGCACCCTTTTTTCACCCACATCGCTTCTGGGGACATACCTAGTCTCTGACTCACCATTTTGGTATAGGGACACTCCTGTAGGTCCCATGGACAGTGAGGCTCCTTGGGACAAACCTGCCAGGTCATCGAAAACATCTAGGAAGTCCTGACTGCTGTGGCTCAGTTGGGTGTCATTCCACAAGACAAAAAAGGCCATTGGTTTGATTCCCAGTCAGGGCACAGGCCTGGGTTGCAAGATTAGTCTCTCTTCGGGGCCCACTGGGGAGGCAGTTGATGGATGTTTCTCTCTTGCAGCAAGGTTTCTCTCCCTCTTTCTCCCTCCCTCTAAAAATAAATAAATAAATAAATAAATAAATAAATAAATGAATCTTTAAAAAAAAATCTAAAGCACAATTTTGTTCTCCATAAAGACACCTGTTTATTCTTCGTGGCACCTAAAGTCTCTTCAGGAACTTGCCTTTCCTCCTTGTTGAAATATCTGTCTCCATGAGTGTATGCACATCCATTTCCTAGACATACCTGTCGGTTCCCTAGATAGATACTTGCATGCTTCCTAGAATGTATTCTTTCTCTGGAACACACTTCTCCTCTCAGGACGTATCTGTCTTTCTACAGACACACCTTCTTCCACCCGAGATAAACCTTTTTTCTGTTTCCACTGAGTGTGTATGTCTTCTTCAAGGATATATCTATGCTTTTCTTGGCCCACACTTGCCTTCATGAATTTTACTAATGTACATCAAGGTCATGCTGGTCTAAGACACTGTGTAGGTATATACATACATACATATGTATGGTATATTGCATTGGACAGATAAGTTAGGTAAGACTTGGCTTCTGGTCTCAGTGGCTTTCATCTAGTAGGGGAGCTGACATGTGCAAAGAAACAAAAACAATAGAGTGTGTGATGGGAGTTAGGCAGGAAGTACAAACCAAATGTTTGTATGAATGCAGAAGAAGAAAGGGAGGTAGGATCACAAAAGGGTGACTGTAGAATCGCTATATGGATAGGCCTTGAATGGAGTGCATTCCCTTAGAGGGAGAGTAGAAAGGGAGATGAATTAGGAAACAATTGTAATAATCCAGGCTTGAGACAAGGAGAATATGAACTGAAGTGTGTTGAATGGGGAGGTGAAAAGTAATTTAAAAGTAGGAGAGATAATTAAAAAACAGGAGGGAATCAACCAGATTTAGATATGAAACAGGTGACAGAGAGGAGAGATTAGAGCTGACTCAGGTTTTGAACCTCAGTTACTCAGACAATGATGGAAGTAATAATAGAAAAGGGCTGCCATAGCTGGTGTGGCTCAGTGGATTGAGCACTGGCCTGTGAACCAAAGGGTTCCGGTTCGATTCCCAGTGTAGGGCATATGCCTGGGTTGCAGGCCAGGTCCCTAGCAGCAGGGGGCACATGAGATGCAAGCACACATTGATGTTTCCCTCCCTCTCTCCCTCCCTTCCCTTCTCTAAAAATAAATAAAGTCTCTTAAAAAAAGGCCATTAAGAGAAGGAGGCAGCCTGAAGAAAAGGATATGCAATATGAGGCAAAAATGGAACAAGCTGTTATATCTCACAATGAGTTAGAAATGGCGTGGTGGTGGAGGAAACGGGGTGGGGCTGAAAACATGGGTTTAGGAGTCCTCTGCACAGAAACGCTATGTAGAAACGCTATGTAGAGCCATGAGAGGGAGGGGAGCTCTGAGAGTGAACGTGCACTGAAAAGAAGACTGAGGTTAGGTACTTAGGAAAAACCCACACTGAAAGAATGAGGAAAAAAGGAGACAAAGGGAAAGATTAGAGAGACAATAGGAGAACACGGATAAGGCAGCGCCGTGGGAGCAGAGGAGATGGTGCCCTTTGAAAGAACGTTATCAGTTGAATGGCTCACTCATTCATTCAACAAATATTTGTTGGGCATTCTGTGAACCAGGAACTGTGCCCAAAGAAGGTGTTCAAGATCAGATAGGAAATGGAGAGGGTGGCACCAAACCATACAGGTTTCAAGTGTACAAATCAATAAAACATCATCTGCACACTGCATTGTGTGCCCATCACCTCAAGCAAAGCCTCATTCTGTCCCTCCTTCCGTCTTCCCTTTGCTCACCTCCCCCGCGTCCCCCCCGCCCCCCGTTTCCCCTCTGGCTGTCACCACACGTTTGTGTCTATGTGTTATGTGTATATATATATATATTTTTTTTTTGGTTAATTCCTTCACCTTCTTTCATCCAGTTCCCCATCCTCCTTCCCCTCTGACAGCTGTCAGTCTGTTCCATGTATTCATGCCTCTGTTTCTGTTTTGTCTGTCAGTTTATTTTGTTCACTAGATTCCACATATAAGCGAGATCATATGGTATTTGCCTTTCTCTTACTGGCTTATTTCACTTAGCATAATAATCTCCAGGTCCATCTATGCTGTCACAAAAAGGTAAGATTTCCTTTTTTTTACAGCTGAGTAGTATTCCATTGTGAATATATACCAGTTTTTTTTAAATTGTATTTTTCCATTACCATTTAGTCCCCTTATATCCCCCCTCCCCTTACAATCACCACATTGTTGTCCATGTCCATGAGTTCTTTTTCCTTTTTGCTGAATCCCTCCACCCCCTAACCTCTCCTGACTGTACCACAGCTTTTTAAAATTCTTTTTTCATTTATTGATTTTGAGAGAGAAAGAAAGAAACATCGACTTACTGTCCCACCTATTTATGCATTCATTGGTTGATTGATCCTTGTGTGTGCCCTAACTGGGAACTGAACCCACAACTTTGGCATATCAAGACTGCACTCTAACCAACCCAGCTACCCAGCCAGAGCTGTACCATAGCTTTTTTTATCCACTCATGCACTGATGGGCACTTGGGTTGTTTCCACGTCTTGGCTATATAACTAACGCTGCAATGAACACAGGGGTGCATCTATTCTTTTGGACTAGAAGGATGCTACATATTTTCACATAGGGATGACCTCCACATATTTATAGACTAGGAGAGAGGAGACTAGGAGAAAAGGAGGGAAGATAATGCACAGAGAAGTTCTGGAAGAAGTTGAAAAGGTGAGGCAAGAACATATGCCAAAGGGTTGGCCTTGTAAATGAAGAGTAACACTTCTTCCTTTTGAGTTCAAAAGGAAGCAGTAAAAGTGGAGAGCAATTTTTGAGGAATGAATCAAGTATGATGATAGACAAAGAGGAAAAGATTAATAGGTTTACATTCATGGTCTCAATCTCATAAAATAGAATTAAATGGCATTCTGCAGGGGGCAGGGGAAATGGGGACACATGGAACGGCTTGATGAGTGTGGAAAAGTTTTAAGAGTTACCTTGAGGGATGTGACAGGGAGTCAATAAAGAACAAAGGGTCAGGAGCTTTTGAGATCTTGCTCCTGGACATATATTGTCAGTTTGTTTCAAATAAACTTAAAAAAAAAAAAAAATAAGACAAAGGGTCACTGGCTGCATTGAGGGCCCAGCAATGAGGTTAGTGAAGGAATCTGGCACTCAGTCAGCATGTTCTGGTGATTTTAATTTTGTAATATTCCGCTGCTAAGGAATAACAAAAAAGGGGGTGTAGGTGGGCAGGGAGCAACACTCCTGGTTTGGAAACTCACCAGCAGCCTGTAGGTAGGCAAGGGGACAGAACTGAGTAGTCTAACCTGGTTAAGGAGTCAGATGGACGGGATGGGGTCTTGGACTTGAGACCAGGAGGTGAGGACTTGAGATGAGAGAGAGAGATGGCTGTGGTTAAAGATGGCAACTTTGAATCATGGAATCAGAGCTGTTTCCACCGATAAAATGTACAAATGTGCTCCCACGGGTGCTGCAGGAGATTAAGGAATTGTGGAGTCGAAGGTTATAGGAATTGAGGAGACTAGGGAATTGGGGGTTTGACTTAAATGGCAATTGACTGACACAAATGTTAATAATGAAAGAAGCTTAGCATAGCCGACACGAGCCTAGGTTGGGGTCTGGAGACCTGGGAATCTACCTGCAGTTCTATTAACAAACTGTATTGCCGTGAGGAAGTCACTGCCCTTCTCTGCCGGTGACTCAGACTTCACAAGGCCCTTTCCGCTCTAAACGGTAAGGATTTATAGGATAATGGTAAGGGACTGGCTGAAAAGGAAGTTCCTTTCCTCTAGACTGGCCCCCTCTTCTCCCGAGAAGGGTACGGAACCTTTCTGCTGCGCTTTCTGCCCGGACGTGCGGAAGCGGAGACCGGAAGTCCTTTGCCCGGAGGTTCCGGGTTTCCTGGGCTACTACGATGGCGATGAGTTTCGAGTGGCCGTGGCAATATCGCTTCCCGCCCTTCTTTACGTGAGGCTTAGACCCCAAGAAGCCCCGCTGTGCCTCCCTTCCCTCCCCGGACCCCGGGCTCAGCCCTGATCCTTCACATGGGGAGGGGGAGAGAGGACCCGGTCGCCACTGCTCTCAGCCCCTCACTTTCTCTCCCAGACGCGCCTCCGGCAAGTGCTTCCTCTCGCCCTCTCCTTGTAATTCTGCAACCCACCTCCTTCACCCGGCAGGTTACAGCCGAACGTGGACACTCGGCAGAAGCAGCTGGCCGCCTGGTGCTCGCTGGTCCTATCCTTCTGCCGCCTGCACAAACAGTCCAGCATGACGGTGATGGAAGCCCAGGAGAGCCCGCTCTTCAACAACGTGAAGCTACAGCGTATCCTCCCTCGGGCTCCTCCACAGCCCACCCACTTGCACTTCCACACTTTGCCACATGCCCAGACTTCACACACACCCACCCCTTCACCCACAGTAGCCAGGTTCCCATTAATACTGGTCTTGGGAAAGAGCAGGTATATGGAGCTGGCATCCAGTTTACCCCCCAAACCCAAATATAGCACCACAACCTCTTGTCCTAGGCAGTGATGGGTACCCAGGTGTCATTCAGGTCTTAGAACCTCTGCTCTGAAGCCAAGTCCCAAACTTTTCAACCTGAGCCCTTTCCACTCTTGAATTTCTGGTCAGTGCTGGTCATCATGAGGCTTAACCTCAGGTAGTATCTTTAGTCATTTTCTCCACCTACTCCCCTCCTCCACGGAAGTAAGGGTCATTTGTTTTTGCTGCCTGATTCATACCTAAAACATCTGTGCAGGAAGGAGAGAGGACAGAGAATGAGAAAACGTAGTACCTTTCATTTTGTAAAGCTCTTCTTTTAAATTGGATTAGTTTAACTTCTTCCCCCCAATATCCAGGAAGTGCCAATTTATAGCCCACTGGGAATTGCATGTATACGTATGTGGGAGGGAGAGGTAGGGGGCAGGTGGTTTACAGCATGAGACAGGCTCCGTGATTTCTTCTCTTGTATTTTCTCCATTGCCATTTATGCCCCCACCTCTACCCACCACCCTCCTTGTTCGCAATCACCACTCTGTTGCCTGTGTTCATGAGTTCTTCCTTTTTCTGTTTTGCTCAATCCCTCCAGTGCCCCCAAACTTGGCTCTGCAAATTTTTATCCCACCCAATGTATTCCATTAATGCCATTCCTTTAACCTTAAATCAGGGAAGCTCCCTGTGGAATCAATCCAGATTGTATTAGAGGAACTGAGGAAGAAAGGTGGGTTCAGTTCCCCAGATTCCTTATTTTTCCTCCTAGTTGGGTTTTCCTGAGGGTAGCTTAACACAAGTCTTTTAATAACTATTTTCTCTCCTCTGGCTTGAAGCCCAGAGTTCTCTGTACAGTAGACAGCCCCGTTGCCCAGGCCCTTTTCCCCATTGGTATACAAAGCTAAAACCTCTCCTTGAGTGACCTAAGACCTAAGGAGATACATAGAAGGGGAATGAGTGCCTTCCAGACAGCAAGAGTAAAGCAAAATTTGAATTTCTCCTTCTGAAAGCTGAGTCTTTTCTGCTCTGTTCCACCTTGGTTTTTGCCTTTGCCCCTTCTTAGAACATGATGCTTTCATAAGTATCTGTTTTGCAGGGAACCTGGAGTGGTTGGATAAGAACAAGTCTAGTTTCCTGATCATGTGGCGGAGACCAGAAGAATGGGGGAAACTCATCTATCAGTGGGTGAGACTATTCTGCTGCAATGACAAATGCATGGCACAGGAGAATCATATCAGTGCTCAGTGGATACCTGGTGTTCCCAGATCCAGGCTAAGCAAAGTAGGAGGGGGCAGAAAGAGGAAATGAAGGTATTCCAGGCAAGATTCTTTCAGTGACTTAATTTCCGTGGCTGCACAGAAGTTCCCTTTCTTTGCCTGTTGGAGGCCAGAGGCTATGTGAGGGCGTGTTTGGAGAGTGCAGTACTGGGAACCACGAGTACTATTGTTGGCTGGAGCCTCTGGCCACAGAAGATAAATGGGGAAAGGAAGGGAAAAAAAACAACAACAAAAAAACACGGGGCCCCTCCCCCACCATACCCATATGGCTGTCCACAGTATGAATTCGACCTTCTGAACCATTGTGGGTGTGGGGAACGACTCTGCCCCCCAAATTCCCAGCCACCACCAGCTCTAAATATTCCCAAGAGAGAACGGAGGGGAGGAAGCATCAACAACCCAAATAAAACAAACACATACCGCCCATTTTTGAACGGGGAAACAACCAGAATGAGAGGTCACTCTCAGACACATGAAGGCCTGTGGGTTAGTGGTTCCGAATGTGTGTGCACACATCTAAATATAGCACCTGTAGGGTTTGTGGGTTTTAGCCACTTCGCTGCAGAGGTGACAGCCCTGATTTGGGACTAGGTACCATTCTTGGGTCAGGGAGGTGGAGCTGGCCATTTCTCCCAGGAGATCCCTGATCCTTATTCAATCCCTGTTTTCTGTGTCCGTAGGTTTCCAGGAGTGGCCAGAACAACTCTGTGTTCACCCTGTATGAACTGACCAATGGGGAAGACACGGAGAATGAGGGTAATGCCTTTCCATTTCCCCAGTTCTATCATCTGAATCCCCTCTGCAGGCCTTGATTAATTGACATTCAGACTTCCCATTCCTCTGCCTCTGAATTCCAAATATTACATCGTACACGGGTTCTTAACCCATGTCCGTTATTCTCATAAAGCACCTGAATTCACATACAGAGAAAACCCCCCAATTTTGTTTGTGGAGTGTATGTGTATTTTTCTAGGGATAGAATCCATATTCTCAGATTTTCAAGGGTATTTGTGACCCATGAAAAATTAAGAATTAGGAGTATAGACACCACATGAGGAACCAGGACAGGAAATTAAGCCTGAAATCTCATTTCTTGCTGGCTCAAGCTTTCTTTCACCTTTTATTCTTATAGAGGGCTTAAGATTTGTGGGTGTTAGCTGAAGGGATTGGGCCAACACCCTCAGTCCTTTTTAAATACTTGTTTTCTGGCCAGGCAATGATTTGCATACTGTTTGATTTTTATATAGTGTAAATCTTCCCTTAGCTCTTTTATTTCTGCCTTCATATTCTGATCCCCAGGATCACCAAAATGTCCAGCCTTAGCTGGGGAAAGGGAGGTGCCTCCCCTTCCTGCCAGGACCCGACTGCCCCAACAGAGTTTATAGCTCTTGGCTCTTCCCTCCTGCTCTGCAGGCCTCTGCTTGCTACGCCCACCATCACCTATGACTTCAGTGCTGCAGCCTTGCCCAGCCCACCACTCAGGCTGGGCAAAGCTGGAGGCTTCCTCAGAAAGCAAGCTTCCTGACTCGAGAGCTGGGCTCCCACGGGGGATAAGGTATGCAAGCCTGTTAGGGCTTGCCTCCTGCCTCTCTCCTCTCCCTGTAGTGTATTGCCTTATCTCTGGACACGCAGCTGGCCCTTGACTCCCAGCCTGGTTCCTTTTAACAAGGAAAGGGCAGGTATCTGGGCTGGACCTTAACAGTCTCCTGGCCAGATGTATGGCTATACTTCTTTGTGTTAGGACAGGTCCTCATGATAAGTACGGATGTGCAACTAGGGTCAGTGTCCAATAACAAGGGCCTTGACCTCCCTATTGTCAGTGTCCAGTAACGAGGCCCTTGACCTCCTTGCTTGTCAAGGCCCCCTCTGGCCCGCAAGCAAATGGTGTCACTCTTGTGCATCAGACACTGATTGGGGTGTACATGGGGGCTGAGTCTGACAGGAGAATCAAGAAGGGGGAAATAAGCATGAATATTCATTTTATGCTAACTAAAGCTTTCTCCCACCCCTTACTCTTTTTTTAAATTGATTTAAGAGAGAAAGAGAGGAAAGGGGGGAGAGAGAAACACTGATTTGTTGTTCCACTTATTTAGGCATTCGTTGGTTGCTTCTTGAATGTGCCCTGACTGGAGATTGAACCCACAACCTTGACATGTCAGGATGATACTCTAACGAACGGGGCTACCTGGCCGGGACATTCCACCCTTGCTCTTCAGGAGCACCCAGGAAGGGCGGGTTGCAGCTGCAGCAGTGTAGATGGCACATATGTATCCTGGCCTCTTCAGGTCCCAGCTTCCAGCTGGACTGCCCTCCTCAGAGGCTCTCAGCCCCAAGGAGCTGAGCGTCCTTGACTGCCCCTGTCTCTCTGTCCAGAGTTCCATGGGCTGGATGAGGCAACCCTACTGCGGGCTCTTCAGGCCCTACAGCAGGAGCACAAGGCGGAGATCATCACCATCAGCGACGGCCGAGGCGTCAAGTTCTTCTAGCAGAGACCTGTTTCCTTCACGCCTTACCTCCCACCCTTCCAGGGCTTTCAAAAGGAGACAGACCCAGTGTCCCCGCAGACTGGATCTGTGACTCCACCAGACTCAAAAGGGCTTCAGTCCAGGGATGGGTTTCCCACTTACCCCATGTGTCTGTCCCTGGGATAGGGAGAGGCTGAGGCGCCACTGGGAAAAGACGTGCTTCTCCTTGCCCTATCTTATGTCCTTGATTGTCCCTGAGGCAGGGTCTGTAAACCCAGCACTTTACATGCGTTCACACATGTAAGTATACACACACACACACACACACACACACACGCCTACACAAGCTTCTGTCTCTTCCCCCTCCCACCCCTTTAGCTTCTGTTGCCTCCCCTCTCAGGCTGGTGCTGGATCCTTTCCAGGGGATGGTGGAAGCCCTGGCTGCAGGCAGCCTTCCAGGCAATGTGAAGATAGGAGGCCCAAGAAGGAGCAGGGCAGTGAGAGGCGGGGCCAGACAGTGATTTATGATATTAAAAAGCTCAACCCCACTGCCTGCCTCTGATGTTACTACTGGAACCGGCATGGGGAGGTCTGTGAAGTGTTAACCCCTTGATCAAACCCCAGCTTGGAAGAAGGGAGAGGGGCCTATGGCCTTTGTACATGAAAAGGTCCTCCAGTGCTGGCTGGCTCCAATGAGCCTGTGGTTTTACATCTGCTGGGTGGGCTGTGTGGGGGAGTGCTGATGGAACACAGCTTGGGGACAGACTGCTTTCTGTCTGAACTAGAGTAACTTAATGGCTTCCCCTGGCTTCACCCCCCCCCCCCCCCGCAACGAAAGTCCTGAACTCCGCTGAAGCCCCTCCCTCCATCCATCTGGTCTGGGTGAGGTAGTTGAGGCCAAGAAGAGCTGAGGGGGAGTAAACCGGACGTGGACTTTGGTTCATTGGAAACTTTGGCAAACAGAAGGGGGAGGAAGGAGAGCCCACATAGCAAAAACAGCCACTCTAATCAGCGCCAAGCTGTGGTCAAGGTAGGGAGGGGGAAGGGATGGGTGACCGGGTCCTTAGTTTGGGAGGTGGGGCTCATTCTAGGGTGCACACACCCATCCCTGTGCCGCCAGGGATGGTGGCGTTGGAGAAAACCAAACCTTTCCATTGACTTCTGTATTGTCAGCCCAGCACTACTACGGACAGCTAGGAGGGGTGGCGCTACCTTATCTGGGGAGTGCAGGCCAGTGGTACTGTCCCCCAGCCACCCCCCTTTCTAGGGCCGGGAAGCCGAAGTCACGTTTCCTCCTTATCCAGCATTGTGCCCCTGCCCCAAGCAGGTTCGTGTACTCTCACAGTGCGGGAGAACACCTAAGCACCTCGCACCAGCTCTTAGGAATGAGCCCGAAACAGCCTGAAGGCGGGTGCGCGCCGGGAGGAGGGGGAGGGGTATCGGCCGGGGGCGGGGCCGTAGACGAGGTGAAGGGCTGTGCACCAGAATCCACACCGTCCGGCTTGGAGGGGGCGGGGCTGGGGGCGGGGCTCCAGGGCTGGCGAGCTGGGGGCTAGGGCCCCAGTCGCTCGGCCCCAGTGCTGCGCACCCAGCCAGTCTGCCTGTCAGGCCGCCTCCGCTCCAGCTGCCGGGCTTAGCGCCCTGCGGTCTCTGACCCTTCTTCATGCTGGCGCCCCCGGCCCCAGAGACCTCAGTCCCCATGTCCCAGGCTGAGGCTGACCTGGCCCTGAAGCCCCCGCCCCCTCTCGCTGCCACTGGGCCGCCCCGCCTCGGGCCCCTTCCTCGCCGGGCACGCCGCTTCTCCGGGAAAGCTGAGCCCCGGCCGCGTTCTTCCCGTCTCAGCCGCCGAAGCTCAGTCGACTTGGGGCTGCTGAGCTCTTGGTCCCAGCCAACCTCCCCCGTTCCAGAGCCCCCCGATCCTCCAGACTCCGCTGGTCCCGACCCCGCAAGGAGCCCACTTCCTAGCTCCGAAGAACCCCCCGAGAGCCCGTGGCCTGGGAGTGCCCCAGTGAAGGCTGCAGACTCTGCGCGTCCGGAGCTCGCGTGCTCCGCAGGAGGCCTGGGGTCCCGGGAACCGCCGAGGATCCCCGAAGCCTCGGCCCAGGAGCGGCGGCGGGCGCAGGAGGAAAAGGAGGACACGGAGACCCAGGCTGTGGCAACGTCGCCGGACGGCCGATACCTCAAGTTTGACATTGAGATTGGACGTGGCTCGTTCAAGACGGTGTATCGAGGACTAGACACCGACACCACGGTGGAGGTGGCCTGGTGTGAGCTGCAGGTGCGGCTGGGAGCCCCCTCGGTGGCAGCTTGGGGTGGAATCCTTTGAAGGTCTTGGGGTGGGAGACCCAGGGGACACCAACAAGAGAGTGGTATTTTTCCATCAAATGTCCAGAGATACTCCTGTTCCCACTTGCTCAGATGATCTATGGATCTGGCTGATTCTGGGCTGCAGAAAGAGAAACTGAGGCAGGTGGTGTATGGTGGCTCCCTTATGGGTCTGTACATTCTCACTTTAAAGTCTCCATACTCAACCCTGAGAACTAGAAGGTAGGTTGGGAAATTTGGTAGTGAGCCAGTTCAGGTTTGTGAAAGTGGCTGGCCTCACTACTTTCCCACAGGGGTCCCTCTTTTCCCCTAAGTCTTGAGACCCTCAGTGTGACACTGGTCCTCCTGTTCCCTCCTCGATCGTTGCAGGAGGCTGGGATGATGGTAGACCAGGAGGTGCGGCAGGGTCCTCTCCACTTCCAGACGATTAGGGCTGTTTTGGCAGGATGGGGCCCTCCCAGGCCCCTTCTGGGGCAGTTAGACTCTTGGACTTCTCCACATTTGCGGGTTGGGGGAGACAAGGAGCTCCGCCGCCCTGGCCCCAGTCCAGTCCTGCTCCTCATCCCACTGCTCGCCTGGGCTCTCCCTTCCCAGACTCAAAGGCACTGGAGCCCCATGGGCTTTATGTTTGGGGCAGCAGCTTCAGATTCAGACCTGGGGGAAGGGTCTTCCCCAGAGCCCTGGCTCTGGGCTTGCCCCTTGTTCCTGCCAGTGCCGCGCCCCGGGCTCTAGGCCAGGCTACGAGAGGTGGCCAAACGGGTTGGGGGGGCGGTGAGGAAGGGAGATGGCACAGGAGCGGGACAGCCATGGGTCTGGGGACAGTCTGGCATCTGGTCCTTGATCCTTCCTTTCTTTCTCTGTACCTCGCTCTGCAGCCCTCCGCCTCCTGTCCTCTAGCAGTTCTCAATTTCTGGGGCTAACCCCCTTGCCAGCCCCAATTCTCTGCCGGCCGTCTGCCCGCTGCCTGCCTGCTGCCAGCACGCTGCCAGCCCCTGGGCGCCCCCTCCCGCCCCACGTCCTGGCCGGGCGGCCACAAAGGCGCTATTGAGCTCAGAGCTCCTGGACCTTACTTACCGCATAAAGACGCTTGTGTCCAGCGGGGGGTCCAGGGTGCAGGCCCCAGGCCCAGGATGGGCGTGTCTTGGAGCAGCTTGAGGGGGCTGGACCTGGAATTCCAGGTCTACGGCCGGTTAAGCAAACGACCCCATCGACCCAGCCCTATCCTAGAGCCTCAACCCTCACCCTTCCCCCCAGCCCCGCCCCCTGTGCGCCATCTCTCCCCTCCCCATGGGGGCCTGGGCCTGACTTGACCTTGACCCCAATCCCCTACCCCACAGACTCGGAAACTGTCTCGAGCTGAGCGGCAGCGATTCTCTGAGGAGGTGGAGATGCTCAAGGGGCTGCAGCACCCCAACATCGTCCGCTTCTACGACTCATGGAAGTCAGTGCTGAGGGGCCAGGTTTGCATCGTGCTGGTCACCGAACTCATGACCTCCGGCACGCTCAAGACGTGAGCTCTGCGGTTGGTGGGAGGGGTGGTGGTGGGAGGTCCTGCTGCTTCTGGAACTTCTCTCAGGCTCCTCAAACTCTGTATCCAAGTTCAGCACAAGGCTCACAACCTCTCACCCACGCCTCCTGTGTCCCTGCCCTGGTGAACGGCAAGGTCCCCTCAGCACCGCAGCCAAAACTTGGGCTCTCCCCTTCCAGACCCAAAGGCAGTGAGCCCCGTGGGCTTTACTTTTGGGCCAGTAGCTTTAGATTCAGGCTGGGGACCAGAGCCTGGGGGGAGGGTCTTGGCCACAGCCTCCTCTGTCCACTCTGTGCATCCCCTTGCCCCATCAGTCTATTTTCAAGTCCCTCCTTGTATCTCCCTACTTGGTTTTCACTGCCCCATCTGCACGCCCACCTCACTGCCATCTACCTCGCTGGCCTGGAGACCCGCAGCACGGCACCCCCCACCAACGGACCCCACCCCGCAAAGGGCCTTCCCCGACTCTCTCCCCCTCCTCCCCAAGCCATCCAGTCGTCCTGCAGTCTAGGGTTATCGCTCTCCATTGCAAATCTGACCTTATTACTCCCATTCTTAACCCTTCAAGGTCTCCCACAGCCCTCAGGATAAAGTTCACACCCCTTAATCTGCTCACAGTCCTTAGGATCCAGCCTCATCTTCAGCCAAAATTCCAGACAAACCAAAATTCCCCGCACCTCCCCTCACCCTGTTCTGGGGCTCGCTGTCCCCGAGCCTTTGAGCGCAGTGTCTCCTCTGCCTGGAAAATCTCCATCCCTTCCCCTTCTCACCCTTGAACTCCTACTCATCCTTCACGATGCAACACAAAAGCTATTTCCCCTGTGGAGCCCTTCCCCACGCAGGGGCGGTTAATCATCCCTTCCCACGCTTCCACAGCATCTTGACCTCAGCCCTAAAACTTCCTGTTGACCTACCACACCTCCCGACTCAGTTTCTCCCCGGATCCTGGTGCAGACCTAGGCTAAAATGCTGGCAAAAGATGCACAGGCGATGGTGCCGGTGGAGCTGGGGGTACTTCCCAGTGGGGGCTCCCTTCCCCGCCACAATCCTGGCTGTGCGCCCTCCCCAGATACCTGAGGCGGTTCCGTGAGATGAAGCCCCGAGTCCTTCAGCGCTGGAGCCGACAGATCCTGCGGGGGCTTCATTTCCTACACTCCCGGGTACCCCCCATCCTTCACCGAGATCTCAAGTGTGACAACGTCTTTATCACCGGCCCTACAGGCTCCGTCAAGATCGGTGACCTGGGCCTGGCCACGCTCAAGCGCGCCTCCTTTGCCAAGAGTGTCATCGGTGAGTCCCTCCAGGGGGGTCCTTGCCATTCCTACCTCCCCCATGTCAGAAGAGAGCCTGGGGTCTCCCTATCCCCCAGAAAGGTCCTCCAAATTCCACAGAGCTAGAAGACCATGGGGAAAGTGGGGAGACCTATGGCATCCCCTCTCCCTCCTACCGAGGTGCACTCCAGAACTGGAGGGCTGCCTCGCCTTTGTACAGCAGAGGGGAGGGACAAGCCAGAAGGGAGGCCCTGCAGCCTGATGCCTGCTGTGAATCCGACAGGGACCCCGGAGTTCATGGCCCCAGAGATGTACGAGGAAAAGTATGATGAGGCCGTGGACGTGTACGCATTTGGCATGTGCATGCTGGAGATGGCTACCTCCGAGTACCCTTACTCAGAGTGCCAGAATGCCGCACAAATCTACCGCAAGGTCACCTCGGTGAGAGGAGTGGGGAGAGGGAATTCCAGGTCCCCTCCCATTTTCCTGTCCCAGCCAGCCCAAGGTCAATACCCTTTCCCTTCATGAAAACAGGCTAGACACAGAGATGCCCTGGCTTACACTGAAGGATAGTGGACACACACACACTCCTCCGTCTCCAGTACAAGCTGTTTAGAATAATGATGTGTGTGTAGCGCTCCCTATGATTCCACCTTCCATTCCTCATGGGACCCTTCCAGCTGCCCTGTGGAGTGCTACAAATGAAAAGAAAACTGACCTAGAGGCAGATTTGTTTAAGGTCATACTGTCCATATGTGCCAGGGAGCGGAGGAGGAAGTGGGATTTGAAATCAAATCTCCCAGTAGCAGTGGAGGTCCTTTTGCAAGTGCTGCTGCCTTGGGCGTGTGTGGGTGGGGTGGGGGCATGTCAAGCCAAGAAGGGGGGGAACAGAGAGCACTAGGCTAATGCAACCCCTTCCTCAGGGCACAAAGCCCAACAGCTTCTACAAGGTGAAGATACCCGAGGTGAAGGAGATCATTGAAGGCTGCATCCGCACAGATAAGAATGAGAGGTGGGCGGAGGGAGCCGGGGTTGGGGGGGGGGGCGGGGTTGCAAGGAAGGGCAGCCGCCCTGCTCAGCTCCCCGCTGCTCCGCCCTCAGGTTCACCATCCAGGACCTTCTGGCTCACGCGTTCTTCCGCGAGGAGCGTGGTGTTCACGTGGAGCTGGCAGAGGAAGATGACGGTGAGAAGCCGGACCTCAAGCTCTGGCTACGCATGGAGGATGCGCGACGCGGGGGGCGCCCTCGGGACAATCAGGCCATCGAGTTCCTGTTCCAGCTGGGCCGTGACGCTGCTGAGGAGGTGGCGCAGGAGATGGTGAGCGGAGGACGGATGCCCTGCAGTGAGAGTGTGAGGGGCTCGGGGCGGTGGGGAAGGGGCCCAGCCCACTCTTCCCCGTGTCTCCTGCCCGTGTCTCTCCGCTTCTTTTTTCTCTTTTTTCATTTCTCTTTTATTTTATTTTCAGTTCTTCTTTTTTCCTTTCCTTTCCTTTTTCCTTTCTTTTCCCTTCCTTTCCCCCTTCCTTCTTAACACACCCACACACACATCCTGTATTCAACACGTTGAAAATTTTCTTTTCCAAAACAGACCCTGGGCCCTCCAACCTCCCTGCTTTACTTCCTGCTGAGCTGAAGATGTTTCTGGAATGCCTTTCTCTCCGATTTATGGACACATTTCTTTTTTCTTTTTTCACACCCCCCCCCCCAACCTCTTTCGTTCTTTTGTTCTCTTTCTTCCTTCCTGCTCAGAATTGTCAGTTTCAGGAGGCCTGTCCCTCTCGAGTCAACATTCAATGCTGCTGTTCACTTCGGCAGGTCTTCAGTCACAGGACCCGCCACCATAGGTTTTGTTTTCCACCAGAATACATTTCTGTCCTTCTCCTCTACTGGACTGTACACCCCCTGAGGGCAGAGACTGTGTTTTATTGATTCTTCTGTCCATGACAGTGCTTGACCCACGGTAGGAGCTCATTAAGAGCTCACTGTGCACACGGCTTAGAGCACTTTCACATGCACTTGATTATTGTTACTACCCCTACATGGAATGATTTATCCTGATTTACGATGAGTCAGAAAGGCTGAATATCTTGCCCAAGGTGTCAAGCAAGTAGGTGGCAGAGCTGGATCTAAATACAGGTTGTTCAGCCTTTAAGTCAGATCACCCTGCCCTACCTCCTTTACATGCCTGGCAAATCTTGTTGTTGAAATGAATAAAGAGATGATAAACGGAAGCTGGTGGTCCAGAAGAGGTATACAAGGGAGGTAGAAGATGTCGGGGAAGAGGCTTGGGGGGCTGGTTCAGGAAGGCCTGAGGGGGAAGGGAGAGAGTATGAGATTTTCAATAGTAAAATAGAAGTTGAAAGGGTGGGGAATTGTCTATTGTGGGTCTGGGTCAAGAACCTGAGAAAATGATTGAAATGTGGCATAGAAACAGGCCTCCGTAACACTGACCTACCTGAGATCAAATCCTGACCCATTACTTATAGGGGTCCTTGACCTTGACACTACCGATATCTGTGTTTTGGGGACTGTCTTGTGCATTGCAGGATGTGGAGAGGAATCCCTGGCTTCTACTTACTAGATGTCAGTAGCACCTACCTGCAGTTATGACAACTAAAAAGTCTCCAAATATTGTCAAATGTTCCACCCCATCCCCCCAAATGAGAGCAAGTGACTTACTGTGTGACCGTGAACTGGCCACTTATTTCTAAAATGGGATTGATAAGACCCACCTCAGGAGGTTATTGGGAGATTTAATAGTGATAATATAAGGAGCTGCCAGTTCATGGGTATAGTAGGTACCCAATAAATGTTGATTCCCTACTTCCCATATTCTGGAGGCCCCAAGAAAGTGTCTGATGGGACTTTGAGGGGGGGCCCCAAACTGTTCCTCGCCTTCCTATTCCAGGTGGCCCTGGGCTTAGTCTGCGAAGCTGATTACCAGCCAGTAGCCCGGGCAGTACGGGAACGGGTGGCCGCGATCCAGCGAAAGCGTGAGAAGCTGCGCAAAGCTAGGGAGCTGGAGGCCCTCCCCCCTGAGCCAGAACCCCCACCAGCAACCGTCCCCATGACTCCTGGTCTCCCCAGTTCCTTCCCCCCTGAGCCTGAAGAGCCAGAGGCAGACCAGCACCAGCCGTTTCTCTTCCGCCATGCCAGCTACTCATCGACCACCTGTAAGTCACCTCTGGCCTTGAGAACTAGGCCCTAGAACCCTTGGCCTCTGCCCCCCCACCCAGTTCAGCCGAGCAGCCCTGTCACTTACCCCGCCCTCCACATGTAGCCATTGAGCTCCTTCTGGACAACTGCAGGCCCCTCCTTGCTCAGGCAGCCCCCGCCCCCCGCTCTGCTGCCACTCTCCTTCATTTCCCCTTCTCTGATCCCCTGCCCTGCCAGCGGATTGCGAGACTGATGGCTACCTCAGCTCCTCCGGCTTCCTGGATGCCTCGGACCCTGCCCTCCAGCCCCCTTGTGGGGTGCCGTCCAGCCCCGCTGAGCCCCATCTCCGCCTGCCCTCGGTGAGAGGGGGTCACGTTGGGGGGGGGTTCCCAGCCATTCCCAGCCCATGACCTATCTCTCTCCTTGTGAAAGCCAGCCCCATGATTTGGCCCCATGTCCCTGGAAATCCACCCCTCTTGTCCTCATCTCCCTTAATTCCATCTCCCTAGTGCCTCAGCATCCTTGAAACTATCTCCCTGGATCGCAGCAGCGATCATTCCCTGATCTCAAGAACCCATATCCTATTACAGGCTTTTGCCCTATCTATTCCACGTGCTGGCCCCGGCAGTGACTTTTCCCCTGGAGACAGGTAAGTTCTGGTGTGAACCGGGGCGCTAGGGTGAGACATACGGAGCTCTGGGGTCTGTGTCCACTCTGACACTCCTCCTCTCTCCTTTCCCTTTTGTAGCTACGCCTCAGATGCAGCATCGGGCCTTAGCGACGTGGGTGAAGGGATGGGACGCATGAGGAGACCCCTAGGGAGAAATCTCCGGCGCAGACCTCGATCCCGACTTCGGGTCACTAGTGTAAGGAAGAGGCAGAAGAGGTGGGGGACAGCCTTGAAGACCAGAAGGGAACTGTCAGGAGGCTGTGGAGGTCAGCCAGAAAAGGGCAGTAGCAGTGTGTGACTGCTACCCACGTGGCAGCCAGTTTTAATAGCAGACTTTGGGAGCGAAGTCTGCTTCTCTTCAATTCCAGTCCAACGTCATCACTTGGCTGGAGTGGGGTGGGGACACATGATGAGGATAGAGGGCTTGACCGCCTCTATTTTGCTGAATTTAAATCTGAAGGTCTCAGACCAGAATGACAGAGTGGTTGAGTGCCAGCTACAGACGCACAACAGCAAGATGGTGACCTTCCGATTTGACCTGGATGGGGACAGCCCGGAAGAGATTGCAGCTGCCATGGTGAGGGGGAGAAAGATGAGGACTGAGTCTTCGGGTTTGGGACAAGAGTATCCCTCAGGGATTCCCTGGTGCTGAACACTCCCCCCTCATCCCTAACTATCCAACAGCGAGGGTTTTTAAAGCAGTTTGGCACTTGGCACAATTTCACTGAAGAAATCTCTTCTTTTTGGAGGAGATTTGTTTACCCAGCGAGGGTTGGATCCTCAGCTGGAACAATCTGAGACCAACATAGAGTATTGGCAAGTGCCACAGTGAAGTACTTGCTAGACGCATGACACTGGCTGTAAGTAAAGGATGGGTTGGGGGCAGGAGGGAGAAGAAGTAGGACTTATGCAAAGTCTGACAGATGGGTAAGCATGGCAGTGAAGGGTGGAAAGGACCTGTCTAGTGGGGGTACAGCATAAGCGAAGTCATGGAAGTAGGGAGTGACTTGGAATATGGTGATGGGAAGGCTTCATGAGGAGACCACTGGAATTAAGGGTTTCAATAGGAGCCCTTCTGGAAGCAAGGTTAGGCATGTAGAGCAGGCCTAGATTACAGATGGCCTTAAGAGTTAGGCAGAGTGGTCCTGGCTGGGTAGCTCAGTTGGTTAGAGCATCGTCCTGATACACCAAGGTTGTGGGTTCAATTCCTAGTCAGGGCACATCCAAGAGTCAAGCAATGAATGCCTACGTGGGTGGAACAACGAGTCACTGTTTCCCCCTCTCTCTCTCCACCTTCCCTCTGTTTCTAAAAACCAATAGCTTTTTTTAAAAACCCATTTTCTTTAAGAAAGAAAAAGTTAGGCAGAGTGTAATATGGTGAGACTAGGTTTTAAGAAAACCAATCTGCCATGGAATGTGGGAGTGGGCTGGGGGTAGGGAATCCAGTTGGCAGGTGGATACGAAAAACCAGATGTGGACTGGAAAGGATATATTACATGGGAGAGCAAAGAGGGTATCAGGAAAATAAATTACTCCCTAACACAGTTAGTTATTGACATAGCACAATGCACATAGTAGATGCTCAATAAATATTTGCTGACTCGATATGAGAGGGTGTTAGGGAGAGGGGATAGCAAGGGTGACTCTTAGTTTGGAGGAACCACCGGGAGTAGACCAGCGAAGGAGCGGGGTAGTTGGGAATGAAAGTGGGCTTTTTTAGGGGCCTGATGAGCTTGCATGACAGACAGTCAAGGTAAGATTCTCCATAGAAGCAGGATGTGGTCAGGCCGGGCTAGAGAGGTGCATTTAGGAGTTGTCAGTATGGAACTGCGAGTGAAGGGAGATGGGCCTGCAAAACCAGAGGCCATAGAAGATCTGAGAGTGTGTGTCCGTGGACACCTCGAAGGACACAGACATGGAGCCTGAGAAATAGGAGGGGCCCTGAAAGGTGTTAGTAAAAACTGAGCGAGGGCAGAGTTTCAAGGAGGTGGCATAGGGAGGCACAGGCCTAAGGCAAGATCACACTGGCTTTTGTCACGAGAAGGTCTCTGGGAGAACAGATTCGGTGCAGCGAGGCCGGCGGACGGCCGCCTCTGGGGTGAGGGAGGACAGAGGGTGGCGGAAAACTCAGGCTTCAGGCGCTCTCCTCTGAAAAACTTCTCCTCTATCGTGCCATTCACCTTGTGTCCAGGACAAAGACAAACTATCACTTGGCACGCAAGCTTATCACCTCCCATCAAGCTACTTGACCCTTCCAGAATCTTTCCTCCAGTCACCCTAGTCTCTTAATAGTCCTCTGAAGAGGCTGGGTGCTTTTCTGTTTCTGCCTCCATCTCCTCGGGGCTCTCTCATCTCTTGCCTGAGAGCCTTCTCTGCTGGGCTTTCAAGCTCACTCAGATCCCATACTGCCACAGAGAGCTCGCTCCCTGAACCCAGGACCCATTGTCCTCTTTTCTTCTCTCCTTACCAGTCCACCCTCTCCTCCTCTTGCAGCAGAATTCTCCTGAGACTTTAATCTTGTGCTTTTGCCCCCAAATCTTTAGTGGCTATTTGTGGTTACAGAGTAAGATCCAAATTCTGGATTGTGGTCTAGAAAGTTCCCAGCACTCTCGGCTACACTTAGGTCTCCTGTATTTTGTGAATGGGCCATGCCTTTTCATGCCTCAGAGCTCTTACTCATGCTGTTCTCTCTTCCTACGCTGCCCTTCCCTTCCTGATGAACAGTGTGGAACAGAGGAAAGGGTAGGCTTTTACATTAGACCCGAGTTCAAATACAGCTGTTATTCAGTGAACTTGGACAAGTTTCTTAACTTCTCTGAACCTCAGTTGCTTATGAACAAAATGTGGGTGATAATACCTATTCTGCAAGATGTTCTGGTATAATTTAAGAGATGTTATATAATATATATGAGAAGGAAATGATATAATATGTGAGAAGTGTCCATACCCAATAGGTCCTCGATGAAGGGCTGTTTTTCTCACTCATCCTTCAAGGCCCAGCTCTGCGACACCATCCCAGCTCCCCAGCTCCCCCTCCTCCCTCCCCAAGGTGGCATGACCTGATCTCTCTTTGGAATAGCATTTTTAAAAATTGTGGTTAAAAATCACAACATAAAATTTTCCCTTTCGACCCTTTTTAAGCGGACGGTTCATAAGCATTAAGTATATTCACGCTGTTGTGAAACAGATCTCAAGAACTTTTTCATTTTGCAAGTCTGAAACGCTATACCCATTAAACAACAACTCTTCCCTTCCCCTGCCTGGAGTAGCATTTTTATCATACATACTGTGGGCTGACTTGCAGTGTATTGCGTTCTGTATGTATGTGTCTCTTCCAGTCGATTTTGGGCTTCTGGAGGACCAGGACCTTGTTTAATGCTTCCCTGTATTCTTCACAGTACCATGCACAATGCCTGGCACATAGTATGTGCTCAATAAGTGTTTATGGAATCGAATGTTCTATTTACCATTGATTGCCTTATTTTTACTTAAGTGTGTATGTGGGTGTGCGTGCGTGCACACCTGTGCCTGTGCGGTGTACTTTATACACCCTGTGAGAGCAGGGATTTCGTCCAAAAGCAGGTGAGGCAGTAGTGGAAAGAGCTCAGGCTTTGGCTGCAGACAGATCTGGGTGCAAATGCTGTGGTCTTGGGCAAACTGAACTTACACTCTGTGAGCATTGATTGTCTTAAGTCTCTAATGGGGGTGTTAATACACACCCCAGAAAGCTGTTGTTGGTGTTAAATGTGATAAGATATGTAAAGCCTCTGGTATATACATGCATCCTATGAATGTCATCTACTTTCCTCTCAGCCAACGATTTTCAACCTTATTCATTTCATGGCACACATAAGCTAATTACTAAAATTCTGCGGCACACCAAAAAAATTGGTTATATTTTTTGCTAGTTTGACAAAAAATAAGTGCAATTTTGATCCATTCACACTGGACGACTATTAATTGTGTTGGCTGTTGTCATTTTTTAATTTGACATTCTAAGGGAAAAGAGGTCAGTGCCCCCGACGAAATAGCCAGGTATTAATGTTTCAAAAATTGTTGCAACCCTAACTGGTGTGGCTCAGTGGATTGAGTGCCGGTCTGTGAACCAAAGGGTCACAGGTTCGATTCCCAGCGCAGGGCACATGCCTGGGTTGCAGGCCAGGTCCCCGGTAGGGGGTGTGTGAGATGCAACCACACATTGATGTCTCGCTCCCTCTCTTTCTCCCTCCTGTCCCCTCTCTAAAAATAAATAAATAGAATCTTTTTTAAAAAAGTGATTCTTAAAAAAAAAAAATTCTCGCAGCACGCTACCCATGTGCCTTTTGCGGCACACCAATTGAAAGCCACTGCTCTTAGCTGTAGATGAAAGTAGCTAATAGCACACAGTGCTTGACACACAGTAGATATTTATTAAATACTTGTTTTAGGTTGGTGGTTGGCAGAAGCGGTGAGGTGAAGGGCTGGCTGTTAAAGATTGCGGCAGGGAAGAGAGATGAGCAGATAACTGAACCCTCCCTCCCCTTCCTGCTGACCCTTGCCAGGTGTATAATGAGTTCATTCTGCCTTCGGAGCGAGCCGGGTTCTTGAGCCGGATTCGGGAGATTATCCAGCGAGTGGAGACCCTGTTGAAGAGAGATACTGGCCCTGTGGAGGCTGCTGAAGACCCCCTGAGCCCACAGGTCAGACCCCTAGGACACCTCCAGGAGCGAACGGACTCTCTGCTCCCCGCTTCATTCCTCTCTGCCTCACCAGTCGCCTTGGATCTAACTGCTCTTCATCTCTGGGAACATAAAGCAGTGGCTGTTAGCCTCTGATGAAAGCCGTGGACCCTTGTTCTAGAGAAATGTGTTCAATGCATACTTTCCTTTTCATTCATTATTTTGAAGTAACCTCAGACGTACAGAAAGAAGTTGCAAGAACTGTACAAAGAACTCTAGATACTCTTAGCCTAGATGTGCCAATTGTTTTGCCACAGTAGCTTTCTTTCTCTTTCCCCCCTCTGTGTGTGTGTGCACATTTTTTCCCCCTGAATCACTTAAGTTGCAGACATCATGCCCCTTTACCTCTAAATATTTCAGCAATACAATTTGGAATTCCTGAAATTCATCTGTGAACTCCTAGAGGTCCAAGAGCCCTAGTTTAAGAACCCCAGTGTGAAGCCTCCCATCTGAGACGAGGCTCTTCCCCACTGTGACTGTGGGCCCCCTTCTCTCTCTCAGGAGGAGCCAGTACCGTTGCCTGCCCTCCCGGGCCCCCTCCCCAACCCGTCCGGTGGTATGTACTGAGTTCCGTCCCTGCTCTTCCCAGCCCTTGGGTGGCTCCTGGGAAAGGCACAGAAAACGGAGGACTGGAATTTCAACACACCCTCCTCCCCAACAGAGCTCCAGAGCAGTACCTCCCTGGAGCATAGCAGCTGGGCAGCCTTCTCCACCTCCCCGTCTTCTTCTGGAACCCCCTCGTCTCCTGGAACCCTGTTTTCTCCCGGGACCCCGGTTTTCCCAAGCCCCATCTTCCCCATCACTTCCCCATGTCATCCCAGCCCCTCCCCATTCTCCCCAGTTTCTTCCCAGGTCTCAAGTCTCTCTCCACAGCCCCCCAGCTCTCCACTGCCATTTCCCCCCAGCGCAGCCCAGTTTCCAGTCCCGTCCTCTCAGTTTCCACAGAGCTCTGTCCTTTCTAGCTCTCCACCCCCCTTCTCTCCCAGTTGTGCCCCGGCCCCCCTTATGCCTCATTCCTTCCCCCCGTGCTCCTCCGCCTCTCCCCTCCCCGCCACCACAGCAGCCCCTCTCCTCTCTCTCGCTAGTGCCTTCTCACTGGCCGTGATGACTGTGGCCCAGTCCCTGCTGTCCCCCTCACCTGGGCTCCTTTCCCAGTCTCCTCCAGCCCCTCCCGGTCCCTTGCCGAGCCTGCCCCCTTCCCCTCCCCTTGCTCCTTGTGGCCAGGAGAGGCCTTCATCTTTCACAGCTGAGTTGGAGAGTGAGGTGAGTAGGAAGCCGTGAGGATTAAAGGGGCTCCACCTTGGATCGTTTCTCTCCTCACGGATCCACACTTTGTAGGCCTCCCCAAATCCTGCTCGGCCACTCCTGGGTGAAGCCAGACTGGCGCCCATCTCTGAAGGTGAGGCCCGTGCCCACTGACCTCCCACTTTCCGTTATTTTCCCTCCACTGTATATACTGCCGCTGATTTCTCTCCCTCCTTCCATGACTCCCTCCTTGTTTCTCTGCAGAGGGAAAGCCCCAACTTGTTGGGCGTTTCCAGGTGACTTCATCCAAGGAACCAGCTGAGCCTCTTCCCCTGCAACCAACATCCCCAGCTCTCTCTGGTTCCCTGAAGCCTCCAACCCCTCAGCTGTCCTCAGAAAGCTCAGACACAGAGGATAGTGCTGGAGGCGGGCCAGAGGCCAGGGAGGCTCTGGCTGAGAGCGACCGTGCAGCCGAGTGCTTGGGGACTGGAGTTGAGGAGGAAAGGGACAGTGGGAAGGAACCCCAAGTTGGGGACAGCCCCCAGCCCCTGAGCCATCCCAGCCCCGTGTGGATGAACTACTCCTATAGCAGCCTGTGTCTGAGCAGTGAGGAATCAGAGAGCAGCGGGGAAGATGAGGAATTCTGGGCTGAGCTGCAGAGTCTTCGGCAGAAGTGAGTCTGGGGAGGACAAAGGGCAAGAAGTGGGCCTGGGAGCGCAGCATGTAGCTTGCCCCCTTATGCTCCTGGTGCATCCTTAGGCACTTGTCAGAGGTGGAGGCACTACAGACACTGCAGAAAAAGGAAATTGAGGACTTGTACAGCAGGCTTGGGAAGCAGCCCCCACCAGGTATCCTGGCCCCCGCTGCTATGTTGTCCAGCCGCCAGCGCCGCCTCTCCAAGGGCAGCTTCCCCACCTCCCGACGCAACAGCCTGCAGCGCTCTGAGCCTCCAGGCCCCGGTGAGACTGCAGTTGCCAGGGCCCCATCTCTCCCAAGTCCCCTCCCCTAGTGATGCAGCTTTGCTCCAGGTCCTGGGGGGTCTGTCCTTGGTTGGCGGGGGGTGGGGGGACTAGTCCCCCTCCCCATGGCCCCTTCCCTCACACAGTGCTCTCCCTCCCCATCCTGCACCCAGGCATCATACGAAGAAACTCCCTGAGTGGCAGCAGCACCGGCTCCCAGGAGCAGCGGGCAAGCAAGGGGGTGACATTCGCCGGGGATGTTGGCAGGATGGTGAGGGCAGGCCCAAGGGAGGGAGAGCCCAGGGAATGGTAACCGGCTGCAGCTTCACCCTCCACCCACCCTGGCAGTTTGTTTCTTCAGTGCTTTTTCTTTCCCCTCTAGTGAATTCAGAACAGAAGCCATGTGTCTCCCCTACACCAGGATCCACCATGGAGCTTGTGCTCCCAGAGTCTGCTGACCAACACAACTCTGCAAGGAAGGCCTCGGCACTGAGGGAGTAGGAAGGACAGAGGGGCGTGGAGAGTGCTGTTCCATTATAGGGAGGAACCAAACGTGAGAGCTATTTGCTGTGTGTAGAGGTTTAAATTCTGCAGCCTACCATCCTCATCCCTGCTACCTCCCCAGCCAAGAGTCAACCACTAAGCAGTCCCACCCAAGTGCAGATGCTTCCAGAGGGCACACTCCCAGCTGGGCAAATGGACAGAGTGTTCTCAAACCAGAATTAGCAGCAGCCAATAAAAATGCTGGAAACCAGGACTCCGAATTTGTATCTGTCAGGCATTAAGAGCTGGGGGCAAAGGCTTGTGGAGTAAGGAAGGGGAGGACTCAGATGGGACTCTTCCTCTCACTATACAGGGCAGGGGTAGATAATGCCCAGCCTGCTGGTTTCCTGCCAGCAGTTCATGAGGAAACTACAAGGTTAATGATCCACTTCACCAAGCGAAGATTCCATCGAGATCCCACCTTAGGTCTACACGGGCAGGCCCCAATGGAAGTTAAAATGAAAGCTGCTTGTCCCTCATCCATCCTCTTTCTCTCTACGGGTGGGAAAAGGCAGTGAAGTTGGAAGAGTGTGTTGTTCTTGAGGGACAGAGGACGAGTGACCTTCCCCCCACCCCCATGATGTGATTCAGTCTCAAAGAGCCCAGTGACCCACCATGAGCTCTCCCTTAAATCAGGTGGAAAGATCTCACGGAAAAAGTAATTCTAGTTAAACATTTATGGCTCCCTGGGGCAATGCCACTGCTGCAGCTGCCTGTGGAGCTTTCCAGCATGAAGTGTCAGCCGCAACACACTCACCTGACTCCAGGAGAGATGACTCAGTTTATTATCCTCAGCCTGACCCCATCTTTCCCATAGGCTCCAATACTGCACAGAGTTGCCACACCCACTCCCATAACAGCCCACCTCCTGTCCTCCTTTCTCCCAGCCCCTGGGAGGTGAGGGGGGGATAAACCACCAAGTCAGAAAGCCTGGGAAAAGCCAAGGTTGGATACCTTTCAAAAAAGAAAAAACAAACAACAAGAAGGGCTCAGCTGCCACACACAGTGAATGTGAGGTGGGCAATGTTCCCTTGACAACGGCCAAATGCATAAATCCATAGCTTCTTGGGCTGAATAATTGTCCAAGGTAAGGTGGCCAGCAATGCTGTGAGCAGGCTTCTACTCGCTTTCAACGTCATGGGGCATCATCCATCATGTGACGGGGCTCCAGCAGGTTGGAGATGTGCAATGTCCACCTGGATCAGGGTCCTGATGCCCTTTCCGTAGCTCGGGCTCGAGCAGCTCTGACCTCATCCTCCAGCTCATCTAGGAAACGCTCCTGGGACACTGAGTAGATGGTGTAACCATCTGCGGAGGTGGGTTAGGGAAACCACTTGGAATATGCACAGTGCCTTTTCCTAGACTTGCTTCCACTACACTTGTTAATCTCTCACCCTCCCAAATCAGTGACTTATTCTTCTGCCCTCTGTTTTTCCGAGCCGTGACCCCGACTCCATTATTATTAATGAATTATATTAAAAGAGCACCTTAAAATTACAAAGTAAGGTACATCAGAGGTTTGGCTCAGCGTTAGGTTTTCACAGCTCAGGTTCTTTCTACAGCCCCGACACTGCCCTCCTCTTGCTCCCATATGCCGTCTCCCTGAATCTACAGTAGAGACGGATACAAATAGCCAACACCACGGCCCCGATGCCCAGGCCGGTCACGATGTTCCGGGCCCGCCGCTGTGGCAGAGTCTTCTGCCACTGGGCGAACTGCACCTGCCGCATGAATTGCAGCTGCGCAGGAGTCAGCTTCTCCCGCGTCGGGTCGATGCGCTGGGCCAGAGGGGCCTGTCCACTCTTGGCATCCACAGGGTCGCCAGCTCCGGGGGCCGCCATATTGCCGCGCCACTCTTCGCAGTCTCGGGACGCAGAGTTTTCTGGGAATAGCAGTCTTTGGCCGTCGCAGGGGTCGCTGGGAGCTGTAGTCCGCGTTTACTTCTACTGACCGAGCGCCGCTCTTGGCCTTAGGGGATGGGCGGGGGAGACGGGAACAGGCTGTGTTTTCTGATTGGCTGAGGGGTCCGCGGCCGTTGGCGCGGGAAAAGACTACGGAGGGCTCGAGGCTGTGGCGGGAATTGGGTTTCCCTCAGACTTGAGGCGAGGACAAGCACACAAGACGGGAGAACGAATCCAGAGTGTGGCAGAAGACCCTGGAGAGAAGCTAAGGGGATCGGCGTATGGACCTAGGGGGCCTTCTGGGTGTCCATAGAAGTTTCTGAAAATGGACGGACCTGCGAGACCAAGACTGGCCTCACTCAGTGAATTTCAGTTTGGAGCTGTTGATACCGAGACAATCGAAGACGCTCTGCTCCACTTGGCCCAGCAGAATGAGCAAGCCGTGCAGGAGTCTGCGGGGTGGATGGGCAGCTTCAGGGAGACCCGGATCGTGGGTGTGAACGCAGGGCCAGGGAGCGGGTTTAGGGGAGACCTGCGCATCCTTCTCGAGGCACCGACCTTGAGACTGAGTTTATTAATTCAAATAAGTTACTGTATGCCAGGTGCTGGGGGTAGACTCTACCCTCAATTTCCACATGTATGAAGATAAAAAGATGAAATAGAGATCTAGTCCCTGTTTTCAAACCACATATATAATCCTTGGAGAATATTAGGACAAATCTGCAAATGCTTCGGTGCAAGTATGGTTAGATAGGTGGCATACTAGATAAAACAAGCTCTTATGGGGGTTGAAAGGAGGGATGGGGCGAGGTGGGGGTAGGAAGAATTAAAGGAGTCCTCCAGGCATTGTGGCACTTGGACTAGACCTTGAAGGAAAGATGACATTTCGGTTGGTAAAAATAGTAAACAGAGCCCGCGATTGAAACACAAGTAAAGCCATGGAAATAGGGACACTTAGAGTAAGTGTGAGTCAGTTAGTCCAGGGTGGCTAGAGCATTTGTAAAAGTAGCTGAAATCAAGATCAGAAAGGTAGTTTGGAGACATTCTATGTGGAATTTTGAATGTCACGGTGAGGAGTTTATACTTGGCTTAGTAGGAAAACGAGGCACTGAAGGTTTTTTTTTAATATGGGTGTGATGTGACTATAACCTTTGCTTCAGAAAAAAATATTCTGGCTGTGATGTGAACAATGGATTGGAGTAGAGAGAGATGGGAGGGAGGTAGACCAGCAGAGTCTGTGTTAGTAAGTTTAGGTACTAGGCCTGAGGGAATTACAGGGGGGATGGATTAAAAACATTTCAGAGGTAAAATATAGGGATCCACAATGGCTGAAATTAAGAAGCGAAGAAGGCAAAGATGATTATGCCAAGGAGTTGAGCCTAGGGGACTGGGAATATAGTGGTGCCACTAAGGGAAACACACACATACATTTAAAAAAACAAAACAGAAGGAAGCGTGGCCTTTGTTTGTGAAAGATAATTGCTTTGGTTTTACATCTACTGAGTTTCAGGTGCTTGTAAAACAGAGGGACATTTCTAGCAGGCTGTTTGAAAAATCAGAAGAGAGGTCAGAACTAGAGATAAAGGTTTGGAAATTACCTCCTTAATGATATATTGAAACTGTGGCAGAGGATGAACTACTAGAGGGAGAAAAGAGAAGGTCAAGGACAGCTCCTGGGGAAACATTCTGTGTTCAAGAAATTGGAGTAGGAAGAAGACGAGTCACAAGGGGAATAAAAGGAGTGGTTTGGGACTAGAACCAAGAGGTCTTTGAAAGCCAAAGGGAGAGTTTCAAGAAGGATGATGGTCAGCAGTTTCAGGTGCTTCAGGGATGTGAACAACAGGAATGGGGATGGCAAAAGGGCCATGATATTTAAGAGTTTGGACATATTTACTCACCTTTAAGACAATCATTTCAACAAGCTGGATAAAGTAGTGGCCAAATTGTAGAACATTAGGAAGTGAATGATGAAGTGGAAGCAGCAGGTGTAAGTTAGGCTTTCGAGAAATTAGAGAGATAAAGCCCTAGCTTAAAAGGATAGAGGGGGAGTGCCTTTTAGTTAATAGTAGATCTGAGTAGTTTGTAAGTGCAGGAGGTGGAGCCAGCAAGGGAGAGGTATAACCCTTATCCATTCCACCTAACTCAAGCTCAGTTTTCTTGGCAAATTAAAATGGAAAGTAGAAACAATTGCCTAGATAATTCAGACCAAAACCAAACCCAACAACTGTACACACACACAGAGGAAAACAAAAAACAAAAACAAAAAACAACGAAAGCCTAAACTCCACCTAATGAAAGGAGTGGCTAATAATACAATTATTCTAGGGTAATTTGCTTAATTGCTTAAACTAATTCTCTTCATTGGACACTGCTAGCAGAGCTTTATTTAGTCTCTGTAATGATACAGTTTTGTCTATGCGCAATGTGTGTCGAGTAGATTGTTAAATTATCTTGTACTAGCTTTACTTTTATAGTTCTTTTCTAAGAAAGTCCAATTTCCTTTGAAGACATACTGCAATTCGATTGTATATAATTCTTTGCTGATCAGTGCTAAAAGTTCCCAGTTCTGCAGCTTTCTTTATTGAGAACTAACATTTACCCTTGTTTCCACCCTCTAATGATATTGCAAACTAAATAAAATTCTATCTGGGGTGGTTCTTTCAAAGAGAAACAGGCAGCCTCAAATCTTGCCAAGGTATCTTGCCCTTTCCTCCTTCCCAGTGACTTCCCTATCGCCCAAATTGGGCTATGTTCCCTGATTTGGAGGATGTTTCTTCAAAACAAGCCTCTCCACTGTAACAAACTCGCTCCCAGGGAGAGGCTCAGCTACCACACATTCACCCAACAAACTGGTGGTGGAGAGATGATGCCCAGCTGTAAGGTGAATCGTGTTTGTAAAGCAATGGGAGTTCTCCAGAGGGTGGTTACTAAACAAACAGTATTATAAAGAATATTGAAGCTCCAGGAGGGACCTTTCTGTTCTTGTCAACATTCCACTGCAAACAATATAGGGGTTGGGGTTTTTATTCATCCCAGAATCTTCCTTGAAGCTGGGTTCTCAGCATGGCGTAGTGGCCAATTAGACCAGCTGGCATGTTTGCGTGTAGCTGGCTAAGTAAGCCTTTTATCAGCTGAGACCCACAGGAAGGTCCCAGGGTCACTGAGGGGGCTTGGTAAGCCCTTGTCTTTGGCGCTCTGTCAGCCTCCTTTTCATGCCTCTGATCCTCCTATTGGCACCAAAAGGAACTAAGCTCAGTTTGGGTTGTTTCAGTCTCATCTTTCTCACCTCCTGACCCTCTTCCCTTACCCCCATCGTGGCTTTTACCCAATGCCAAGAGTTCACAGAGTGGTTTTGGTTGCACCTTGTGAATTAGGCTCTTCTTTCCTGTTTTGGCAGAGTTTGTTTTTCTCCTGTCTGAACAATGGTGTCTGGAGAAATCTGTGAGCTACCAGGCTGTAGAAATCCTAGAAAGGTAAAGCCCTGAGCATAAGGCCTTTGTAAGTGGTGCCTCTCAAAATAGCTAATGTACCCAAGTCTTAAAAACAAAAGCAAACATAAATAAATAAATAACAAAAAACCCCACCTGGAAAAACAGTACTAGCTGCCCCTTACCATGAGACCTGGTTTTGTATCCTCTATTACGAATATAAGTGTATTGCCAACGATTGCTATCGGAGAGGATAAGATGTAGCATACTTTGAAGGAGAAACTCCTTTTAGTGAGTGTGGATTGTTTAATCTCCTCCTTCCCTTCTTTACAGGTTTATGGTTAAGCAGGCAGAGAATATCTGCAGACAAGCCACAGTCCAGCTCAGAGATAAGACAGAACCTCAGGATTGGAGGGCTCTGAAAGAGCAGCTTTTCAACAAGTTTATCCTGCGTCTTGTGTCATGTGTTCAGCTGGCAAGCAAACTTTCTTTCCACTACAAAGTAAGGAGCTGGGGTTGCTCATGGGCACCTAGCGTTAGAAAGAAACTGGCTCATCCGAAGGTGACTGTGAGAAACCTACTGCTGGGCTAGATGACACTCCTCATGTGGAAATTCCGGAGTGCAATTATGCTTCCAAAGCATACCCCCCATGCATGCATGCACGTGCAGGCGCGCACACACACAGTCACACAGGGGCAGTTATTTAGTAGCCTGAAGTTCTGTTCCCAAAGTATAATTGCTGGACAGGTGCCATTACTCATACAGGTCACCTTTTCTCCCCTTGGACTCAAGGACAGTTTACATAAAATGTCTGGATTGCCAACACACCTATCAGTATTAAAGGCAAATATTCCATTTATAAAGGAAAACTTTTCCACATCATTACCCAATGCCTATATAATGAAATATCATTCATTCAACAAATATTTATTGTCTCCTACGACCAGATGCTGCCCTAGGTGCCATGGCTGTGGCAGTAAAAATATTGTCTGCTCTCAAGGAACTTACTATCCAATGAGAGAAGACACACAGGCACATAATGTGAGAAAGTGTTCTGATTAGTGTAAATACAGAGGGCTATAAAATTACCTTATCAGCCTTCGAGAGTCAAGGACGTATAGAGAAAATGAATTCTTGAACGGGGAGAGGGTGTAGAAGATGGGTAGATCCTGAGGGAAGAGGGTGAGAGGTTAAGGGAAGCAGGGAGAAACAAGAGGGAGAACGGGAGATCCAGATCCAGGAAATAGCACGTGTAGAGGCTTGAGGCTTGGAGAGCTTGGTGGGTTTGGGAACTGCAAGCTCTCTATGACAAGCATTGAGTATAAGGGGGAATTGCCAGAAAGAGAAGACAAGATGAAGGCATGGGCTGGATTGTGACGCGCTTTGTGTACCATGCCAAGATGGACAACCTTTACTCTGACACTCTTCTCCTCCCTCGCTGTTCCGTTTTCCCTTGCTCAGATAATCAGCAACATTACAGTCCTGAATTTCCTCCAGGCTCTGGGATATCTACACACTAAAGAGGAATTGCTGGAGTCAGAGCTTGATGTTTTGAAGTCCCTGAACTTTCAGATCAATCTGCCTACTCCCCTGGCATATGTGGAGATGCTCCTGGAGGTTCTAGGTACTTAAGTGCATCAGGGACTGTGGGTTGGAGTCTTCCACAGAAGACAGTGAGAGTGTACCCAGGAATTTGGGGGCGGGGGGCAGAACCCACCAATGAGGAACAGAAGGAAGGCTGTAAGGCTGAGGAAAGTGCTTTCTCTGGTACTTGTCAGGGAAAGAAACGTAGGTCTTAGCACCTGGCTTCTGTTTGGACTTAACTAGGTACTCTCTCACTGGATCAAAGAGTTAATCTATGGAGAGGCATGAGATAAGAGGGGAAAAAACAGATATACTCTGATTGCAAATGGAGATGTCTCTACCTTTCCCTTTGTCCTTTGAAACTGACTTCCAGCTAAAGAGGTCTCTCACAGTAAAGCAAAGCAACCAGGAAGCACATTAGCAGCTCAACAGTTTTCTGTTACGTTAACAACTGTGATTATGATCAGAAAAGACCCGCATTATGCTCTTGACCATGCCCATACTCCATCTAGGATACAATGGCTGTTTGGTCCCAGCCACACAGCTGCATGCAACCTGCCTAAACCTGCTCGACCTAGTCTATCTTCTGCACGAACCTGTATATGAGAGCCTGCTGAGGGCCTCAATTGAGAACTCCACACCCAGTCAGCTGCAAGGGTAAGGCAACTCCTTTAGTGTAGCTTCCTTCCAGAAACAGAGAGTCCAGAATGTAGCGTGAGAACATGGGGCATGGAATTGACCTAGCAAGGCATCTGGTCCACAGATAATCTGCACAGGTTATCTGGTTTGAATTAATGTCCGGTATGTTGCTTGGATGCAGTTGACTGAGCCCAATCAGCAAAACTCTAAATGCTCTTACTTTTAAATTTAAATGACTTCAAGTAATTATTTCCTGGTTTTCTTTAGAGCTGTTTATAATTTGAGATTACTGGACTGTATTTGTAGTCACTTGGGGAAAAAAGCCAGTCACAAGGTTGCAACTTGGACAAAAGTGTTTGATTACTATAAAGTCAGAGTGTAAAAAGCCTCACAGTTACATTTGTCAGGGAGACAGCTGGAACAACAAAAGGCCTAGAAACCGTTCAGACAGGAGGCTCATGTTTTAATCCCAGTTGATTTGAGGGGGAGGGGGCAGAGGACTGGGAGAGGAGTCAATTAGATATTACTTGACTATTTCTTTCCATGTCTAAAAAATCCTAAATGATCAACATGAACAATTGAAGTTCTATGACCCCAAGATTTGGAAGGTCAAATTTCATTCTAGCTCCAAAATTAATAATGGTTTTAATCATTCAGGGAAAAGTTTGTTTCAGTGAAAGAAGACTTCATGCTATTGGCAGTAGGAATCATTGCAGCAAGTGCTTTCATCCAAAACCATGAGTGCTGGAGCCAGGTACGTACCACTGAGCAGGACCAGCATGGTCAGAACGCATTTAATAGAAGGCACTCTCTCATTAGTTAAAGGAAAACAAGACAACCTATAAAAGATAGGTGTCAAGACCCATGATAAAGATGAATGAGCAGGGTATGGAAGAGGGAAAACGAGGTTAGGACTGAAAAGTGTTCTCCAGTTTTCCTTTTATGAAATTAGAAATGGAGGTCCAAGTTCGGCTTGTTCCTTTCCTTTTACTGGACTTCAACGTAATCCGCTGATAATCCTCTATCATGTTCAAGTCCAATAAATGTATCTTCCCAAAGAGAGAAAATGTCAAGGCTCAAATATCCCTCTCACATTTCACAAAACTTATCTCCAGCCGAGTGAAATGTCTAGCAGAAACTTTCCACACTACCACCACCAGGGCAAAGGTATCCTAATGTTATCTGGCTATTGGCAAACACTGGGATCTGGATTTAATCTTCTCAGAAAATCCAGAGAAACGAAAAAATTTATATTGGACTTGAGAGAACAGCCCAAGCAATTTGTCTTGTGCACTAAAACATGTTGAGATGCTTTAGTAAAAAAAAAAAAACCAAAAACTTGTCTCTATTTCTGAAGGTTGTGGGGCATTTGCAGAGCATCACTGGCATCGCCTTGGAGAGCATTGCTGCCTTCTCTTATGCGATCCTGACTCACAGCGTAGGAGCCAGCACTCCCGGGCGATGGCGGCCTATTCCTCCCCATGCGGTGGCCAGGGCTCTGAGGGCTGCTGCTTCCTCCAACACGTGAGACAGACTGAATGTGCCAAATATATAAACAGCCTTCCATCACTGCACTCATCTCCCTTTGTTTACTTTAATACCCAGGATACAAAAAGTTTCAAATATCTTTTGACCTGTGTTTTGTACTCCAACTTCATGCTTGTTTTTCTGCACTGGAAAGAATTAAGGTGGACAAGCATGTCCTTTTTGTTGTATCAGACTGAAAATGTAAAAAGCTGGGAGAGAGAAATATTAGTGAGGTTGATTCACTTTTATTTAACAAGCTACTTATGCCTTTTCTTTAACTGTTCATTTCATTACGAGAGAACATCAGACATGAAGATGAGTATTAACCAGGGACTCGGAAGCTGAGCCCATCTGGGTGACCTTGACTGAGCGGGAAGGCAGCCTCTGTTTCCCTTAGTTTCACATCTCTGTTCTGTTACTGAGATCTACACAAATAGGGCTTTCTCTACAGCTATTTCCACTAGTCTTTTTTTTTAAAAACTTCATTTATTTTTAGTGAGAAGGGAAGGGGGGAAAGAGAGAGGGAAAGAAACGTTTATGTGAGACAGAAACATCAAGTGGTTGCCTCTCATGTGTGCCTCAACCAGGGACTGGACCCGCAACCCAGGCCTGTGCCCTGACTGGGAATCCAACCAGCGACCTTTCGCCTTGCGGGACGACACCCAACCAGGCCACACCAGTCAGGGCTCCACGAGTCTTTTTAAAAAGTAACACTAACCCATTTCAACAGAATTTCCACATACCTGCACTTGAGTTCAACTCTCCCAAAATACAAAGTACTCTATTTTAGTTAAAGAAAAACCCAACAGTGCACATTGGGCAGTTATCAGACTGCAGCAAATCTTTTATTACAAATAATTAAATCTCTCCATAATGTCTCAAACAGTATCAAACACCATTTCGTATCTCTAACACAGAGCAGAGCAGGCATTCAGTACTAGAACCGAGTGAGAAGTATTAAATTTCAAGCTTCTGATCACATCACATGGTGACCAAAGCTTGTATGTCTTTTTTTCACGTTATCCAATTGTGCGTCTCATACATCTCATCGTCTCAGTGGACACAAAAGTTCCTATTTAATATTAAGTGCAGGAAGTTGAGAGAGAGGAAATCCACTGAAAAACAAATCAATCTCAATTCATCTCAGTTAAAAAAAAAAAACCAAAACAAACCAGAAGCAAACTTAAATTAGTTGTTTTAAGGGGAGAGAGGGAAAGAAAGGCATGGGGTTAAGAGTCAAAACTATAATAAAGGCTGACAGCCATACGTGGCATGTATAGCTCTGGGAACTATTTGTCATATGATATTTTAAAGTGGCTTTTGTAGATTTTTTTTTTCTTTTTTTTGGTATTGTAAACATGTGCTGTTTAATAGTACCCAAATTTAATTTAAAAACCTTTTTTCAAACAAAACAAAATTTAAAGCCTTTAAGGCAAACATCTCCCTAAGGAAAAAGGAAAGTCATTTATTATAAAACTGTGAGGACACCCAAGCTAGACCCCACTTAAGATTCGTCAGCATGAACTTCAGAGCTTTTGTCCACTGTTCCTCAGAGTTAAACTGGGTTTTGATGGAATAGGAGCCACCGCTGCCTCCTGTGTCTTCAATCTTGCCTTTTTCCACATCCATCCTGCAGATGGACACAGCAGAGCTCATTAGTAACTGAGATCTGAGTTAAGTCAGTTCAGGCAAATGGGCAGGGACTTAATCATGGGACCATTCACGTCATTTTATCTATTAAAGAACTCTTGGCGAGGAACGATAGTGTATTTTGGATTTGCTTGAAAGCCAAAAATCAAGAAGGCTGTCACAAGAGCCTCATTGTCATTGTGGAGTACCGGGACAGCACACACACCCAAACAGATGACAAGCCTGGAGCAGAGGGTACGTGAGAGTTACAGTACTCCTCACTGTTTTCCTAGGCATCCTGAACTCACGGGGAGCGAAGGGAGGCAGAAGAAAAGAAAGGCTTTGTTCTGGGGTGATATAAACAGCTCAGCCTTACTCTCTTGCACCAAGGTCTCCATCACCGGGCTCCTACACAATTTGACCAAAGGAAGCATTCCTGTATACTTCCAAGGGCTTAAGGAAAAACCTTCCTGAAATGGGAGAGCAGGCTTGAGCTGTGTGCCAAGAAAATGCCCCAAAGCGCCTGAGACAGCACTCTTTTTCTCCAGGGACCAGGCGGTCGCATTCTGTCCTACTTGCATTGTTGGTCAGTCTTTGCCCATCAATGTCCTGGGATTTTACACCGTTCTCTGCTTTCCTACCATTTAGACTATGTTTTGCCTCCATTCTTACTGTCCCTTCAATTCTGTTCAGTTTGGTCCTACTCTAGGTTCATTCAGCATTGCGGGGGGCGGGGGATACTGACCTGTAAGGAAGACAAAAACGTGTCTCGCCTTTCTCAACCTCTTCTTTGAACTGCTGCACACAGTCCAGGAAAGCCACCATTGCATGGTCAAACTTGTTGTCCCAGAAAAATCGCAACCCCCCAGAACAGTATAACGGCAGTTCCTGCTCAGGAAGAGAGAACTGGCTATGGGTGTGGCACTAAGACGGGCTATCAGAGACTGTCCCCAATCCTACCAATCTTTCAAGTCACGTTCTTTCTGTATTGCACTGTAAACAGTAACCCTGGGCAAATAACAACGCAGCTTGAACTGCTTTACTATCAGTGGAAACGTACGAAACATCTGCCTCACAGTGATTCCCTCCCCATCCAAGGGCTCGCACCCTCCTCTCATCTGCCCATACCCCTTCTCAACAGACTATAAAAAAGACTAACTTTCTCTACAGGCTTCAAAGAGCTAATCCTGAATTAGGTAAGGCACTGACCCTTCACGAGATATCTCAGTCTAAGAAGAAAACTGAATAATGCTATTATCAAGAGTAAACCATTCTGTTAGGAGATACAAGAATTTTGTATTCCAGTGAAAATGGAGCTTCCCAGAGTACCTTAGATTTGTCTGTCAGAGACTCCAGGTATGAATGGTTTCCATAGGGAACAAGTCGATACCTAAAAAGGAGGTGCATACAGAGATGGATACAGGGCGCCTTGTAAAGGGATTACTGACGTCGGAACCCAATGATTTTCAGACTTCTTCTTACCTCTTTGATTATTCCCACCCCTTTCTCTCATCTGTTCACAGGCTCCATGTTTAAGATTTTGCTTACCGAACAACGTATATTTATTATATAACTGTCTAGGGACCTTTATGGATGAATATGTATTATGGTTTAGATTTAAAAACAAAAAACTGAAAATAGCTCGAGGAACATTAAAGTCCTGGAGACAGATGGCGGGTTGGGGACCATTGCTACGGGCCGCTTGATCAGTAGAAAGAGCCCAGTGGGTACGGGAAAGCCAGAAGCAGCCACTCTCCACAGAGACTCCCAGGCTGTTGGGAGCCATAGTGGAAAGCAATATGAGGACGGAGATACAAATTATATCAAAGACATACCACACCCCAGGTAAGGACTACATTTCTCACCTCTGAAATTTCAGACCCATCTTATTGGCCAGGGCATGGAGCAGCAACACTGTCTGGCCCCAAGCAGCATTAATCTCATTCCATTCCACAGGAACACTGGGCAAGCGACCCAGTCTGAAGTTATTGATTGTGCCGAACTGTCCGCTGTGCCTATAGAAGAAGGCAAAGGGCAGGGGAAAATACAGGGAGAACTTAACACTTAGCAACTTCTGAGACTTCCTGCTCTCACCTAAAACCTAGCATAAACCTCTCTCCTTACCTCCAGATTCATATACCTACTCGGTACTTTAAATACATGTCTAAAACATGAGTCACCATCTTTCTCCCTGCTGCTCAGATGCCAAAGCAGAAACCTGGGCATCACCCTTGAACGCTTTCCCTCAGCTCCCTCCATGCAGAAAAGCACCGAACTCTTCAATCTGCCCACTTCTCCCCCCTACTCAATGCCACTATGCTCTTTTCCCGTTTCGATTCCTACTAACAAGTCTCCTTACCAAAAATACTGCCCTCTTCCCCCATTTCTCACAATGCAGGTGAAGGTATCAGAAATTCGAACATGATTATGTTATTTCCCTGCCTAGGATGCTTCAGTGGCACGCACTGCCTTTCGGATAAAGTCCAAATCCCTTCATAACACCTTTAAGATACTTTAGGGACTGGTAACTCTCTAGTTTCATATCCTGTCATTCTCCCCTTTATACTTAATCTCTAGTCACAATAAGTTCCATTCAGTTCCCTGATTTCACCACTCCCAGTTTCCTGTTTCTTTGCACATGACATTCTCTCTGCCAGGAACAACCCCTTGGCCCCCCGCCCCAGCTGAAGACTTCTACTTCACCACTTCGGCTTAAACATCAACCTCCTCTAAAGGAAATTTTCCATGTGGCCTCCCCACACTGGGTAAGGTGCCCTTATGTGTTCCCACAGCACCCTAGGTAACCACCATCGCACCGTGCTATAATTGCCTATTACTTATCCATCTCTTCCACGACATTATAATCAACTAGAAGGTCGAATACATATTGTTTGCCGTTGCCATCCTAGTGCTTAGAACAGTGCCTAACACACAGTAGATGCTCAGCAGATGCTAGTTAAATGGATGAAATGTCAAATAAATTAACAGATGAATGACCCTAACGGTACGAAATCAGCTCCAGGCAGAGGACCAGAATTTCATGTGGCTGGAGGACTCAGCTCTCTCCCTTTCCTTGGAAAAGCGTATGGCGCTAAACTCTAGAATTCCAGCCCCCTGAATGTGCCTAGCCCAACACAAGGAACGAAAGCAACGCAGATGACAGTCCTATTTTGTGGGAGGCGGGCACCCTGGCTAGAGGTCCACAGCTAAGGCCCAGACAGTCTTTCTCAGGTTCTCCTCATGCTCCAGCCCCCATTACCAAATGTGGAAGGTCGCATTAAAGACGTTCGTTTTCTTCAGCTTGTCCAGCTGCATCTGGGCATAACGCATCTGGTTTTCCACACTCTTCAGCTCATCATCCAGTTCCAGCTG